TGGTAAACCTGTTGGAGGAAGAGGACGGTTGACAGATGTTAAGGTCAATCAATTCCAGAGCAATTAGAGCTAATATCGGTAATGTGGAGAAGATGAGGCAAGCAGTGTTAGCTATTTTACACCATTCGGCAGGGCCGTAAATCCCGGGGGGGGACGGGGGGGACTGGACCCCCCAAAAATCTGGAGCGAAACGATTTTTTTGGAGAAATTACCATCATTTTCCTTGAAAGAAAGAAATCCCTGGTAGCCGGGTTAGAACCAAACTACGTTTTTCTGTGTTATTGCAACAAACCTCAGCCAATAAGGTTATTTTTGTAAGCAGAGTGGTTTTTAGAATTTTTACAAGATAGAAACTTACCGTTTTCTACCGTTTTTTTCCGTTTTCTACCGTTTTATTTTTGAAAACAAAGTATGAAATAAAAAGAGAGCAATCTGTCATTTTATTTGACCTATTTACTAACTTCTTTACGTACATTTCTATTATTTGTCTATTATATGCTTTTATTTAGTGAATCACTTTTTGTATCATTAAAATGTATTCATTTTTTATGTGTAAAGATGGCCTACTGAAAGCGTTCAAAATAAGAAGACGCACAATTCTGTTCAGAAAGTAAATTTCTACCAATCAATACAACAGTGTCCCATATTTCCCCAACGTCTGTCACTAAGGTTTAAGCACGACTCTTCCCCTCCACAATTTCACCCAATAAACAATAATCTGTGTTCTTCTGAAAAACGCCGAACTTTTTATCCTGAGCGATTCTAGTATTTTATTAAATTTAGTCTGGGGGATTCTTTTTTAGCCTTTCTAGAAGGTGAAATTTCAAAAATTTTCTTCTTGTCGGACCCAACCATGGTGGGTCCTCCTGCGACAGTAAACTTGATTCTTAGCACCCAAGGTTCAATTTCTTGTAGCCGTCTCTGAAAAATGTTATCCATCCAATTATCAACACAAGTCAATGTACTAAGGAATATCTATAAATACCTTCTGTAGAGCAGAAAGTCTTGAGAAGTCCAAAAATATTGACTTTTGTTTTTAAAGTAATTTGCCCCTCAACTGTTTCCATAACACACCCTTGTGGTGCCATGCCCACTGCATACTTTATATTCATTCGCTCTGCTGACCCCCCCAATTCACATGACAGATTTACGGCCCTGCCATTCGGTTAAGCCATCTGATGAAAGCACATCTCTCATGCAACAGCACAGATATTGCCCAAAAGCAGTGGCGTAGCTAGCCAAATAGCAGTGGTCATGCCCTCCCTCAAATTTGAAAAAATATGGGTGTGGCCATATTCTGCCACGCCCAATTTTTCAGTTGATGAGTTCCTTTGGGAAATTTTAATTTTAAGGCTTGCAACTTATAAAAAATTGTTTGATGAACCTTTGGAAAGAGCTTTTCTTATTATCTTGTTACACCATAAAATGACCTTTGTGTCTTATAGCTGTGACACTGTTTTGGTTTGTTGGTAATTTATACAGACAGAGTTCTGACAATTTCAAAACAGAACTGTACAGAAGACATACGAAAACATTAGTTTAGTATAGTAGATAAATTTAGCTTAAACAAATAATTGTGTTATTCTCCTAATTTCTTTCAATTTGCAGGCTGAAATACATTTGTAAAGTTTAGAGATAAGCTAAAATTTGTAAATAAAACAATAAATCACATGAAACTGAATGGGAGCTTTTTGGTGATATTTTTCACAAATAGTCTTATTATCAATCTATTGAAGGTAAGTTAAAGCCATCACGATTAACTAACAACCCGAATAGAACTGATAGATGAATAAAACAAATGGGCAAAGGAATATGCAATGTAAATATTGATATGAAATATAGGAAGCTAAAATAATGGATAGGCCTAGTTGCAAAATGTTTCCTGCAAAGTTAAGACTTAATAGAAAAATACCTTGCAAAAAAAGTTTAGCTTGATAAAAACATTTATGTTTCCACATATACTTGTGGTAAACATCCACATGATTGGATTTCCTTACTAAATCTAGCAAACAAGGGTTTTAAATGAAATAATTTGATCTTGTAAATTTTCAAATACATGAAAAGTTATAAAGAAATAAAACTGTTTAACTAACAAGATCAGTAACATGCTTGACTTGTCGCTGGTCATCTTATTTAAACATCTATAAGTAGTAAAAAGGTACTTTCAATTACAAGTGAAGTCAGTAGAGCTTTGAGTTTGACTTTAATTGTGTGTAAAAACAGTGTTATTGCATGTGATAATAAATAAAAAATTGAAGAATAACTTTAAGCAAGTTTTGGCATTCCTATCCATTAACTACAACCTTATTGTCCTAATCATAATATGGTAACAATGCTCTTAAAGGGCTTAACAGTTTCTGAATATGCTGCTAAATGTCTGGAAAGTTTAAGCTCTCAAATCTGTTGGTTTGGAAAATAACACTGCTATCTCCTCCATCCATCTCCATTGAAACAGCACCAAGATTTGGCATTCATTTAATCAAGAAGATTTTCTCCAAATGTTCAACTAGTAACAATTGATTACTGAAAAGGCTGAGAGTTTGGTTTGGTTGCATAAAATGATCCTGCTCGCTGATTTTATGCCCAAAAATGGCCTTTCGTGCCTGTCACTTCTCCACATAGTGCAAAACCACTAAGGCTGAAAAACCCTCTCATTGCCATAAAATGTTCTGGAGATTAACATGAGTCGTGGCTGCTTGGCAATAAGCTTTTGTTTGCATTTTACTTACAGAGAATTACCTCCCAGCTCGTGGATCTAGGCATAGCAGCGCCGCCATCGATGCCTCGCATTCGCGTTCATGAAATAACACAGGGCGGTTCTGATGATTATAATGATGGTCATGCCCTCTCGAAATGGCATGACTAGCCTTTGTTCTCTCCTGCGTCACTCCTATTGTTAGGCATGACCAAACATAGGGAACCAGCGTTATGGGCATGACTAAAACACAGGGTTTGGTCATGCTCATAGTTATGGGCATGACTAAATTGGAAACCCTCTGTTTTAGTCATGCCCGACAATAGAAGAGCGCCTGCGGAGGGCTCCATATTGTTGCGTGGAACCATAGGGCTCCAAAGGCGAATAGCCTGAGCCATCAGGAGAATATGACTTTATTCTTACGAAAATATAATTTTTTGAAAAATGTTATCTCTGGAAATAGATGGTCATGCCCGGCATGACAAGCACGACCGCTAGCTACGCCACTGCCCAAAAGAAAGATCATCATGGTGCAAGTTCTGGGTCGATAAAGCTTAGACAACATCATTTTTTGATGAATCTCAGAGGCTACCTTCATCCTTTTTTAGTGCTTTAGAGCCAACTTTCAAGAGGCTTAGTGACTCTAATTTGCTGAAAAGATGCCAACTGGGTTTGACCCAAAATCAAAATGAAAGCTTTAATAGCACAATATGGATGCGTTGCCCAAAAGAAAACTTTTGTGGTCTACGCAGAATAACTCTTGCAGTATCAGAAGCTGTTTGCATCTTTAACTGTGGTGCTGGTGCACAGCACAAATAGCACTCTGAGCTTCAGCAGGAATTAGGGGCTCTGGCAGAAAATCAGTTGATGCTGTTAAAAGACAAAACTGCAGAAGAATAAAGTCTGCCTCAAGAAAAGTAAGTGACAAATATAAATTCCAACGATGGCAGAAATCAAAAAGCTTTTTAAAGCAAATTGAAGAAACAAGGAAGCACTATGCTTCAGGTGCATTTGACAAAGCTGGAAAAGCATTTGCATCAACCAGTGGGAAGAGAGATTTTACATATCCATCCCACAGGTTATAAGTTACATACAGCCTTTCAAAAGACAGTAGAAGACAGAAAATGCTTTTTAGAAACTTAAAGTTATATGTAAATAGATATAACCAAATCTTTGCTCACTCAATCAATTCTTATCTACCAAAGAACAATGTAGATTTATGTCTTCAACTTTAAAGCCCATTTTCTCAGGACATCAAATTTGGCACTAATATATTTCAGGAAAGAACAGCTCTTCAACAGTATGACCCATCATCTTGAAATTTGGTGTGCATATCAACATAATAACGTTCTTTAATTTAAATTGAGCTTTTTTAATTTAAGCAAAGATGACAGCTGTTTCCATGGAAACAGTGTTTTTCTTAGATTTTTTCAAATTGCAATGCCCTACACAAAAATGCTCAATTTAAAACATGCAGAATAATGTTCCAATTTTCTGTTCCAAATTTGGCCCAAAAATCTTTAACCATAAAGGAATTATCTTTACTTTACTGAAAAAATGACGGCCGAATGAAATTAGCATAAATTAGCATGGATAAGAATCATAAATATTTTTTATACACCAAAGGGATAATAATGTTATACAATAACAGTATGTAACATTTTTCTTATTCAATAATGCAAATATAACACTATATCTAGCATTTTTGCTCTAGGGCTATTATAGCTTGCAACTGGTCTAGTGCCCCCTTAAGATTCCAATTTTATGATTCATTTTCCTTTATGTAAGAAAGTTATTCATTGGAACGTTCTCTTTGAGCACTAACATCAAATTTAATGCAAAATATTGCAAATATGCACATGCAGCTAAAGAAATGGGTGCTTTGCTGAAGATAAAAAGTTCTTATTATCGAATTCAGTTTTTTCAGAAACCCTAAAAATCATTCACCTCACGATTAGGCCAGAAAAACTAAAAAGATTTCACCGAAACCTTGAAATGATGGGAAAAACCATAGTTTTGGTAAACCAATGAGGATACGGGTCCCACGCCACCGGGGTGGCCGGCGGGGTCATGCCCCCTCCCTACTTTTTTGGTAAGCAAAATATTTCCAAAGAGACCCTGTTTTGAAGCACTAAATACAAGTTTGACTTATATAACTTGGCCCCTCCACCCTGAAATTCGTGGCGTGGGCTTTGGGCTACACAAACCAGTTTAAAACCAGGTTTTTGGATTTCTAACTGGGGATAACCAGTGGGGATAACAGTTGTTGAATCTGGGAAGGAGCATTTTGAGGAGATTGTAATAAACGAAAACAATTCAATTCATTTCCATTTCGAACTCTATACAAAAAGTAATGGAGGAAAATGGAGAATGGTTTAGATGTCGCAGATGGGAGTAAAAATAATGGAGACAGCACGGGAAGGATTGACCTGAGAAAGCTAGGAGGAATTTTAACCTCTATAGGTAGAGGTCAGAGGTATGATGCAGAAAATGAAGATTCATTTTTAGAAAAGGCAAAGCTAAAGAGCAAAGCTAAAGTTGTCAGCGCTTGGAACAACGTGAAATATGGTGAGAATTTTTGCAAATAGCTATCATTTGAAAGTAACTCTAGGCCTACCTACTGATGATTTTCATTAGGTGGAAGTTTCTGTCGGTGAAACGAATTGAATATGCACATCAACCCAAGGTAATATTGCTATTTCAAGCTGCTGTACTGCGTTCAAGCTGCTGTACTGTACTGCATTCGACGCTGATGTGGTTGCCGTACAGTATGATTCAAATGAATAACAAAATTTATAGTGTCTAGGGACTGAAAATTTTCAAGAACATAACTTGGTCATTCACTCCTCTTTTCGCTCACCACGCTGTTAGCAAACTACGATAGTCTTAGTTTTACAATTTCTTAATGATTTTTCATGATAGCTACGACAAAAAGTTCAACTAAGTTTCTCTGTCGCATTTTACTAAAAAAACTTCATTTTAGTTTTGACTCACATTTGTACAGGGTAGGGGATATGAGGTGGCTTGTAAATTCAGTAAGATTTGCAATTCACTTTCAATTTCACTGCTTCAGCTCATATCTTAGTCAAATATTTAGTGCTCTAAATTAAAACATTTTTGAACAGGTTTCAATGTGCCATACAAGCCATCATTGCTGGAAGATTCTCCAGTCTGGTTTTTAGGAAAATGTTATGACAAGAGAAGGCTAGGTAAGAGCTGGCAATTGTTTTGTACATTGTACAGAATTCTGTGACTAAAATTTGTATTCAATGCTTTTTTCTTTGTTTAGTCATTTTGATACAAATCTATATGAAGTATTTTTACAAAAAGCTCTTTTCATTGTGGGATGAAATAAAACAATAACTATAAATCCACTTAAAACTGTAGCTTTTACAACAGAATTGTTCAATTTAAAGCCTTTTATCGACAAAGGGTGTTAACCACCTGTTGTTCTTATCAATTTCCTCTTATCCGAGTTTTGTAGAAGGAGATATATAAAGCCAAGGACAAAAAATTGTCTTTCATTAAGAAAATATTTTTATCTTTAGATGATGTTGACTATTCCAGACAAAAGGAGAAGTTCCAAATATGTGATATTGATGGATTTTTTGAGGACTTTGGTGCATTGATTTGGTTGACATACAGAAAAGAGTTTCCCCAACTTCAAAATTCAACATTAACTTCTGACTGTGGATGGGGCTGCATGCTCCGAACAGGGCAGATGATTCTAGCTAATGCACTTCTTATGCATTTTTTGAGAGATGGTATGGCTGTTTTTGATTAAAATATAAAAATTTTCTTGCAAAAAATAAGTTTTTCATTTTACCATTTGAAAACTCTTTTCCTCAGCACTAATCAGAGTTATAAATAAAGGCATGATCTCAACCAAGAGTTGATGTAATATCAATGTTTTGACCAAGGTACACTCAAAATAGAATAACTGCCTCCTATTTTGTGTTCATTGACAGATTGGAGAAAAACTGGGAAATTAGGACATAATGTAATGGATTACCATTACAGGATGGTTTGTATCAATCATTTCAACTTATATTTTACATCTAAATGTTTGTTCTGTTTTTAAAAGAATTATATAGAATTGCTTTTATAAATTGTTGGATATGATACTGTCACAAAAGTCAACTTGTCTAAAAATTGGGATACATTTGAACCTATGTGGGACATTCTCCATAAATCTTTGATAAGATTAGTGAGAATGTCGATGTATCTAAAATTTTGCTAGCAAAGCATTATGTTGCTTTGTCATGGCCATGTCTTTGTAAAAAACGTTTTTTGTGTACTTTGATTCCTCAAAAAATATGGTGCAAAGAAAAAACATAGCATATCTTTTTAATTTGTAGATCCTCAGATTTTTTAACGATGAAGAAAGTGACTTTAGTCCATTCTCACTACACCAACTAGTTAGAATCGGAGAACAAAATGGGCATAAAGCTGGTGATTGGTATGGTCCATCAAGTGTTGCCCACATTTTAAGGTTTGTCATAAATTTTTGTATCAAAAAGCAATTTACTATAAATAAATAAGCTTGTTTTTTTAATTTTGTTCATCACATGTATTAAGGGTTTAGCTCTGTAATGAAGTGCTTCAAACAATTTCTAGCAATGAAGGTGACAAATAAAAAGCTATTCTATATTTCAAATTTTTCAAGCTCTCTCCTTCTTTCATTGGCTCCTTCTCTGTGTTGATTTAACAATTTTGCATATTTTCTTTAAAAGTGGCAAAAAACTAATATAGGCACACAGAAAACTGCCAGATAAAGAATCATTTTGGGCTTGCAAGTCCTTACTTTAGAATTTTGGACATACGTCTCTAAAACTCATGTTTATAACTGTTGCAACAGCTGCAAAGAAGGGTTCATGGCTATTAATGCTCCTGATTAAAAATGATTTTGTGTTTAATTTAAAAATTTGAGTGAGTTTAAGAATTTGGATTGCTTAAGTTTGCATTCTTTCATTTTCCTGTTCCAGTTTTCATATGTGGTCTTTATGAGGAAATTTTTTTGAGAAAAATACTCTCTCACCAAAGAGATTAATTTCTTAAGCAGATTAAGGTTAGCAGCTGCAGTCTATAGGAATCATCATTAAGAATTGCCTGAAAAAGTGAAACAGATGTCAAAGAAGCAGTATTAGCAAAATGTCATTGCCTTATCTAAGCAATCATGTAGCTATGAAAAAATCTCACAGAGAAAGACATTTGGAAATAATTGTGACTCTCAAACTTGCTATTGTTTTAACATTTGGCTGCTAGTGTTCATTTAACTTGGGATTTTATTAAAGTTCAAAATTAACATTATAATGTCAATTGTTTATCTAGAAAATTATAGCTGTTTATCTAAAAAATTATCTCAATTCATTTTTAGTACCGCAATGAAGAATGCAGTGCATCCAACATTAGAGGGTGTTTGTGTATATGTTTCACAAGACTGTACTGGTAAACAAATTAAACTTATTCCTAGCTGAAGATATCATGTAGGAATACTTGGTAATAGCTTCTATGTGTAGCTAGAATTCCTTGAAAAATGTGATAAAATATTTACAATAATCATCCATTTTTGTTAGCAGAAAGACAGGGAAGTGAACAAAATTATTTTGGCTCCTTGTTTTTCTGTATTTAATTGTTACGTTTTTTTGAAATCATGATTATCATCACAAGAAAATATCTACTTCTACAACAGCATAAAGTTGATCTAAAAATCATTTGATTGCAGACAGTTTATAAACACCTGCAACAAGTCCCTTGACAATCCCTTTTTAAGTCCTTTAAAATTAAACTGTTATTGAAAACATATGCTTTGTAAAAGGTGTAATATAAAGTTCCAATTCAAAGTTGTTTAGAAGTAAAAAGGTGTTAACTTTCTATTTAGAAGTTGTTTGCTTTTATAAAACTAATATGAATACATACCTCATTTTTAGTGTATAAAGAGGATGTGATTAACCTGGCAACTGAATGTAGGTGTTGTGAGAGCAAGGACTGCAATGATAAAATGTGGAGAGCAGTTTTAATCTTAGTTCCAGTCAGGCTTGGAGGAGAAGGACTGAATTCTATTTACATACCTTGTATTAAGGTATTTCTTTTCAAAATATTCAATAATGATTTGCAAAGTAATACAAAGAGAAAATTAATTTCTTCTCAAAGCTGTCAATTTTTTAAGGATTTGTCTGCTGAATTTTTGTTTTCTTTTCAATCAAGATTTTTTAATCTTCTTAATTTAGTTTTAAAATCTTTTTTTTGTCAATGAAAAAAAAGAAACAAAAATTTTCTTTGGATGTTTATCAGTAGCAGAAATTATTTGGGCTAAACATCTGCAATACTGACCCCTTGGATAGCATATTAAGAGTAGAGGTGGGTGAGACACAAAGAACTGGATGAGAAATTTCAAATGAAGGGATACCCAAATCAGAGAGTTAACATTTATATCATGAAATACAATTAAAATAGAAAATTGATTTTTCACTTTTTTCACTTTTTAGGGTTTATTAACACTGGATCACTGTATTGGAATAATCGGTGGTCGTCCAAGGCACTCATTGTATTTTGTAGGATTTCAAGGTATATTTTTCTACTTTTTTTAAGTACCTTTCGGTTTAATATATTCTATTCAGCTAAATATATTAGATATTGATAGTTTATTTTATGTATTAAGTTTATTTTTAACTTGTCAATTTTTACTGAGTTTTTTTGACTATTTTGTTGAATTGGAAGTCTTGGTTTGAGACTTTACTGTTATAAAAACATTAACCTGCATCAATATAAACATACTATGTATTTTCTATCATAGAAAATAAGTTCCTGTACTTAGACCCTCACTATGTTCAACCGATGGTGGACATGTCAAAAAATGATTTTTCAGTAGATGTAAGTTTTTTACCATCATACATTGTTTCTTTCAGTGTTTTTATCTGTTTGTTTTCTAATGAGATTCTTTCTTCCTTCTCGACTTTAATTGTATTTATTGGGAATAGAGATTTTGCCCACTTCATTTAGTGAATTATGTTTTAATCTCTTGTTTAATATTTGAACATCTGAGAAAATCTGAGAAATTATTTTGCAGACAGATGCAATAGATCAAACAGTCATAAGCAAATATTTCCAGTGATGAAATCAGAAGATCTGATACAATCTTTTCAGATGACCCAAAACTCCACCTCTAAAATGCCAATATTTTTAAGTTTTTGTTGTGTCTCATCAGAAATTTCCTTTTGTATCATGAAAAGACAAGGAAATAGCTGAAAATGTTTAACACATTTTGGTTTCATGTGTTTTCCAACCCTCTTCTAATTAACATCATCCTAAACCTGTAGAGCATCTAATAAAAGGGGCTTGGAAAATTGGGGTGTTTATCTCTCTAAGTTGAAATGTAAAGGAGGGTAAATACGAGGAAATTTTTGGAGAATTAAAGATGTTGAATAAAAAATGTTATGAAGCAAAAGGGTTTTTTTTGTTTTCAATTTGCTAGTAACTTTTTATATAAAGTAATTGATACCAAACGTTCTTGTCTCTATATTCGCCAATACAATATACTACTGTCAATCGTCCTTCTTTGAACATATCTAAAAATGAACTGTTTTGAAGTATAGTTCATAAATGTTTCAGTGAATGTAGCATTGTTTAATAAGTTTTATCTTAAAAATTGTAATTTATCAGACTTTTAGATGTCCGTACCCACGAAAAATGGGAATCAGAAAGATGGATCCATCTTGCTGCATTGGTTTTTATTGTAGAAAGAGAGAAGATTTTGATGCGTTCTGCAGGGAAACGGTTGAGGTGAGAAAATGTGCTTCCAAGTAATAACTAAAAGCTTCAGTGCCTTTCAATGGCTTTTAAAAATCTATAACCGTAAATTTCTTGCTAATACCAACATAATTTCAATTGCAATCAAGTGAATTTTGTATGTCGGAACTCTTTGCATGATCGGTATTCTAAAGACAATCGATAGATACAAATGGAAACAGTTTCATAACTTTTTTGTGCAGACATGCAGAATCAAAAGATATTAGAAAATTGATCACATAAAATTGTTTGGAGTAGATTAGTTTTTCGTCGATTAATTAAATACACTAGTCTTAAATATACAATTTAAACTGTACATGAAAGCTAATCAAATCGATGGATATATAATCAGTAAAATAGAAAAGGAAACGAAGAAATTAACAGTTTTTTACTTAATAGTAAACAACTGATTGATTGCTGATTGGTACAAATTTTCAGCTTACTTTCCTTGAAGGGATCTGTATTTGTTGTTTGTTCTCACAGATTGTTCAAGCCATTTAAGATATATATGGATTAGTACAAAGACATTCTCATCGCACTTAATTACATTCTAAGTGCCGTTCGCACTTAGATTTACAATTAGCAGATCATCATTGATACTGTATAATTACAGTATAATTATTGTCAAATTCGATCTTCCATTCTTCACGGTTCTTATCAATCATGCTTTGTACCTTATGATTTTCTATACGCACCTATGAAAATCTAGAGTGTAGTTTCAAGATAGGAAACTACGTGCTATTTCATAATTTTTTTATCTATTGAATATATGTAGGACACTGATATGGCGATTAATGGTTTTTTTAGGGAAGAGCCTGTGCTATTGTTGACTTAGGCAGTCTGCAAAATATTTAACTTATTTTGCCCATTTAGAGATGTTTAAAGGGTGTTCTTTCAGTTCAGTCGCTCGAATAGCGTTATACCATTATTTGGTGTAACTATAGTTTTATTCTCGTTTAGGTATTGAAACCGCCAATGCAACGCACAGAATATCCAATTTTCATTATTTGTGAAGGCTCAAAACCTTCAACGGTATTGGATACGCCTGATGGCAAACGGATGAATTATGTTACTCGTACAAAGGTAGGCTCGTTTAGCATTGAAGGGGACACGCGAAGCAGGACTCAGCGAGAGACCCTAGGGCATTCAGATCATAGAAATCATGGACAGAAACAGCCTCGAAGAAAGCAGAGAAGTAGGGAAGCTGACCTGAGTGAAAGACGACAAAGATATAGCGAGGAATATTTTGTTGTTGATTAGGAAAGATAGCTTTCAATATCGAATGTCAGCCCTTTTATAAGTATGTTTATCTTCCAGGGTATAGATTACATTTGGTTGATAAAAATCCAGTTGATTTGTGTACACTGTAAAATTATTGTAAGATATAATGGAACACTTTTGGTTTATTGAAATGATATATTCAATCATACAAGACCTCTGACAGAGGCTGAATCACGTGCAGAGCAAAGCCATATGCAAAAGCTTATGATAATTCCTCAAGACTTGATCCTGCATGGGTCGATCTTTAGCCGAGGAGCAAATATCTAGTTTTAGGAAAGTGCTTGAGAAATTAGTGAAATTAGTGAAATTAGAAATTACCTTTCTACAGTAACTGTTAATTACAAAGATTGAAACGAAAATGCCTCTTTGATGTTTTAAGCCCGACGTTGAAGCCTATTGAAAGCCACTATTCAAGCAGATCCTTTGCTCTGCTGTCTTTTTCTAAGACAAATTTTACGTCGAAAAAAAGTCAACATTTTATATGAAGCAGCAGATCCTTGTTATTTAATTGTTTTTTGAGAGTTGCTGATATTTCAAAGAATATTTCTAAATATGCGTTGATTACATTTCAGTGCTAGCAAAAAACCTTAATTTATATCATTTGCGAAATAATTTGCTTGATTTCAATCATGTCACAGTTGACGTCATAATTTCAAATTTGTATTTAATTTTTTGTAGAAAGCAGTTTGGCCATTTTTTGTATAAAGGTTGTTTTGCCAAAACTCTGACATCAATAATTTAAGTTTTGGTAGAATAAAAGTTTGATTAAAACAAATACAAATTTGATTAGTGATCGTTGAGACCTCGGTCTGTTACCTGTGTAAATACTTCATTCATTTTAAATGTATTGTCCTCCTGCCTTTCGTTTTTCGTAATGGGTAAATTTTTGTTCAAACTCAATTGCTTTAACAGAAACTGCACGGAATTTTCTTAAGAAACCGTCCATGGAAAAGCCGACCTCTCAGTTGACAGAAAAATAAGAATTCATAATGTTGATCGCCCCTAGACTTACGGAATTGCTCGAAATACATCTTTTAGGGATTGAATGGAAATTTTTCTTAAAGCACCCTTTCTGTTTTCTTCTTTATTGATAAAAAACTGCTTCCCATGGCAATATAGGTGCAAAATAATATTGTAAGAGATTTGAATTACAGTACGAGCGCTGCGCTGGAGTAGGGATCCATCTTTAGCAGGGTTACCATATATTCAGAATAAATGGCGGCCATATTTTCACGGAAGACGGCTAAAATCAGACAGCCATCCAAAATATCCAAGACAGCTACATTTTGGCTAATTTGAAAAAGTACAATTGACTATGTATGTCACAAAACCTCTGACTTGCTTTTAATTTCAATTTTCTGTTATGTTTTACTTTTTCATGTTAAACTCATGCATGTTATTTTTCAACATTTGCAATTATAAGAATACTTTTAAAAAAATGTTGAATATTGCCTGTGAAAAAATGATCGTTCCCTGTGTATTTTTGTGGCTTTAACATGCAGTCAAAACTCGGCCAACTATTGCTTCTTCGGTTAATCAATTTTCGACGGGCAAGGGATTTGAGAAACGACCAGAACAAAAAGAAGGAGCTTTGCCATCAAAACGACCAAATGTCAAGTCAACCGTGGTCTTTAGTTACTGTCTGTTTGGCACTCATAATTTGTTTGAGCAAAAACACCCAGAGTAACGACTAGCCTCGTTTTAAAGTATTCAATGGCGGGAAGGCAGAAGCAGGAAGACCTCGTATTTCAATTTCTATGGGCGGAAATGACTTGGAATAGCAACGAGGGTTGCTTGATATCTGAAGACCTAGAGGCTGCTATCAAGATATGCATAGAAAGGTATGTTTTTCTACGTCCATCCTCATCCGGGCAATTCTTTGTTATGTGGTCTAGTTTTGGTATCTTGCTTAAAACTGTTTTTATTGCAAATTTATGTGCAGAGCATGCCTGCGAGGATGGTTGGATGTTGTTATTTATCCCCTTACACCAGCTTGTAAATTATTTATGCTCTTCTCACTGGTCATAGAATGCTTTTATAGAAAAATACCCTTGTTAATTTCATGAGTATGAAATTATTGATGTATGGTCGATTTATATCAAAGTCACAACTGATGTTGTATGAAAGCCTATAACTCTTTGCAAAACATAATTTAACCGATATGCATATTTGGATTAAATTTTATGTAGCCATGACTGGCAGTTAAACGTTTTACTGGAGTGACTGTATTACAAAGCAACTCAAAATTTGTGTTTGCATTATTTTCTGCCTAGCATCTGAAGGTAGTTTTTGAAAACTGACAAGTTATGTTTATTGAGCAGTGTATTGGTCCTTGGTGAACACAACTTGTCGTTTCTATGCATAGAATTGCAGAGAGCTGTCAACTCCCATCACACTTGGTGAAAGTTTAGTCATGTCAGGGACTCAAGCCCCAGGCCCATGGATTAGTAGCCTGTGACCCTAATCACAGAGCCATCCTTCCACCTATTGGCTTCATGCTTTAAACCTGAAAAAGTTGTTCTACAGAAGAGAGCACTGTAATGAAGTGTCTTGAAGTAAATCCATTTTAGTGTTTTAGCAGAGAAAACCATTATGCTGACTTTGTTTTAATCCAAAGTCCATATAATAACTTTTACAAAATGACATCGATGCCAAACGAGAAAAGCTACATTCATCTACTTACATTTACAAAACATAATTAACAGTTTTAAATAATTAACATGTTTACAAAGCTAGGTAAGATAATGTTCTGAAATAAAAGGTTTCAGTAACAATTAATGTTTTTTCTACCATCACACAAATAAATAGAGAAGCTAAATACTGAAAATCAAAAAATCATTTTGAGATAAGGGACTTGATTAACACTTGCTTATACTGCAAAGTAGCACATGTGAATGAACAAGCTGTAATTTCTACAATTTCTACTCAAATGCAATTTCCATTAGTTTTATGGGTAAATGTTAGCCTGACTTTGACAGTCGCACAATTCAAGCACCCTCCATTTCAAATTGCATATTCTGCTCCTTCATTGACAGTTTTAAAGGGGCCCAAGGAGGCCATGGCCCCAGGCCCCATGCTTATGTAGCCAAAAGGAGTCCCACACCTTAGAAAAAAGATAGAAATTGTAAAGAATATGGGCCCCACAGATGTTTTTGGTCTTGGGTCCTGCAGTCTCTAAAACAGCTGCTGTGCTCCTTGTATTATTCTTCTGAGTTTCTGCATTATCTTAACTTATAAATTATAGCCTGAGCCTTGCTCTAAGATGGTAAAAAAAGATGCCTAAAGCTGAGACTACTTTATTGAGTTTGATTGTTTCAAATGACATCTAAAGTCGTAAATTATAGAACTAAAGAGCTGTTTGACACACACTCTATGACAATCCTGGGAACAGCAAATTTCATAAACTGAGAAATTATTTTTGGTTTATGTAAATCCCAGTTTCATTTTAAATTTAGTCTCTAACCAATGTGGATCGAGAAGGCAATTGCTGAATGGAAGGACATCAATGCTTTTTGTATTTATTGGAATTAGATGAAAAGGTGTAGTTAACGTGATTTTTATATTTTTGGTAATTAATTGTTTTGTGAAAATGAAGATTGGCTTCATCAAGAGTTCTTGCTTATTCAAATGTTATTTCCAGTGTGGAGGCTAATTGAAGGTGGGCTTATAAGTGGGGGGAGGCCGTAAGGATTTAAGTCAACAGAAGACAGCACACAAATACTGCTACTATGCCATCAGCAAAAATATATTTTATTACATTGGAGTCTTTTCTCGCTTCATTTGCTTTGTGATGAGGCTATGCGCTGTTCCCAGAGTTTGATATTAGCTCTTGCTGATTTGGGAGTATCTGGGGCTTTTCTTGGATCCTAAAAAGTTGAAAAAAGATTTTTTTAATGTATTAAAGATTTTGAAATTTCATGCAAGTTTATTTACATGGTGAACAATTTTTTATTTCAAAATATGCAGTAGCAGTCAAATTTTCAATTGGTTTTCTAAACCAAGCAAAAATTATGACCATTATGAAAATTATGACAAAAATTGCGTGAATAGAAGAGATGCATATCAAGAAAGTCTACTTTTAAATAATCTTCAAATCACTGACTTTATTTCAGCTTCTATTGCGTATAACAAAAGAAGGCAAAAGGAAGCTCATTGTGCACTATTTATGTTGATATGAAGGTTTCTCCAAAGCAAAAAGATCGCTAAGAACTTGTGCTCAGATGAAGCCCTGTATGCTGCTGGGGCCAAATATTATCCATTACTGATTTATGTGTGTCTGTGGTTGATTATTCTCGGGTTGCAGTGTTCCTTATTCACTACGTGATAGAAGTACCTTACACAGTTGTTAAGCGTCTTTATTTCATACCATAGTTTAACTGGGTACTAAGTAGATTCATGGCATCCAATTTCTAAACAAAGGTCCAATTCAGAAGCCTATCTTACTTATGAAATTTATGTTTCCATTCCTCAAATTTGTACAAGGCTATCAATTTGCTAAACAAATCGAATATATTTAAGGGGGCCCCCCATAGTAGTTGTGATTCACCCATTCACGCTCAATTTTTTGACTTCACGCATTCACGCACTGCAAAATTGGATTTTCACAATCACGTAAACAATTAATGTAATATCAGCTATTGCTCATCAGTGCCCTGTTTGAAGGACCACAACACTGGTTTCAAACTTTAGATACTAATTTGGTATTTAAATATCATTGGTTTATTGCGCGCCAAATTGAGGCAATTTTTTAGATAACCATTCAAAATTTCATTCACGTATTCACGGATAGTTAAAGCTTTTTCACAACAAAACGCAAGGAAAATTCATGTTTCACGCTTCACGTAGAAATATAATTCACGGAATCACGCATATAGAATCGAGATTTCACGATTTCAGGCAAGAAAACGAAACGGTCAATAACGCATCACGCAAAAATAAGGGGGCAGGGGCAATCAATTAATGCTGGTAAGAATTTCATACACTTTTTTCCTACTCCAAGGTTAAATGAGAATGTTAAACCACTCTACTCCACTCCACTCCACTAATCATGCAATGCAACTCTGCAATAATTTGGATCCCTGTGTTATGATGTACAATAAAACTAAGATATTTTGTCAAACAGTATCTATCTTGTCAGGCCATTCCATTATCCAGTTTCATTCCATATAATTTTAATCTATTCTTGAATCTCGATTACATACCTGATTTGACTGAAGCTTTCTTGGTGATTTTGCCTTTGCAACATCTTTGGTTGCAGCAACTGCTTTAACTGGAGACACCTTCACCTCAGTGCTCTTGTGAGTCATCACACTCTCTTTATTGTTATTGTTTGTGTTCTTTTTCTCCCATGATTCCGCAAGACTCTTTCTCCTATCTTGCAACTCCCTTATCTCCTGTTTCTGCTTTTGTTTCTCTTCCTGCATCTTTTCCTGTTGTTCTTTCCGCTTCCTCCGCTCACTCTCTTGTTGTCGCTTCTTCGCATCTACGTCAATCTTGTCCGCTTCCCGTCGTTTTTCTTCCTGTATCTTTTCCCATTGCATCGCTAACGGATGCGCCTTCTTAACTGGCTTGCTTTCCTAAAAGTGTCACATAGATTCAGAATCAGTCTTAGACTATCTTAATCTATCTAGGCTATTTTTGATTGCTGTAAGAGGCAAAGACATGAAATCTGCCATCCAGTATTGATAAAGCAAATTTTCTCAATTGATTCTTTTCATCCAAGTTTCTTTGAGAGTAAAATACTCACACACAGAGTGTTACACGAGCGTATTTTCAGGAATAGGGTTTGTGGAAAATCCCGGAAACATTTTAAAAACTTCGTTTTCTTTTTAAAGTGCTGTTCTTTTTTCTGAAAATAATTGGCGTAGTCACCAAATCAAAAAAACCGAAAAAATCATTACAGAACAGATTAGCCAGGGCTAATTATTGATAAAATACGGTACGACGCAAACATTACATACACATTTCTGTAGATCAGTTCAGTTACTTCAAAAGAAACAATTTTCATTGCTTTTTTGGATGAGCCCCAAGTGTCAACAAATCTTACCTTGGATTTTTCTGTTGCTTTTTTATTGATAACACTTGGCTTATTCTTATGTTCTTTTGGTTTCTCGATCTCATCTTCTTCCGCTGCGTTCCCTTTCGACTTCTTTCTTTTAATACTAGCTTCTTTCCAGGTGAAGGTGTATTGATACCAGTGGCCTTCTTTCGTTCAATAAACTCGTCTTCTTCTTCACTCTGGTCACCTAGATCACTGCCTTCTTCATCCACTGCCTCATCATACAGGCCTGCTTCTTCACCAACCTCTTCGACTTCCTCTTCCTCATCCTCTTCTTCATCGCTATGTTTGTCATTTTGACCATTCATCTTCAACTTATCTTCCATTTTGATATTCACTTTAGCTTCCTGTTTCCTCACCCCCGGCTGATCTGTACCTTTATTGAACATATGAATGAATTTCTTTGTTATTCCCGGGGCGACGTTGTACTCGCTGTTGCCAATCATTTTAGGGCTTTTGTCAGATGCTTTCGATCTTACTTTGACGCTGCGTCCAAGCAGCATAGATTCATCTTCTGGTATTTCATCAATATTCTCTCGAGCATCTTCTTCTCTATTGCTTTCATCTGCGTCATCCCCAGATGCCTTTTTGTGCGTTCTCCTGTATTCCATCTCCTTTCTCTTTTGTTCCGCTATTTCTCTTTCAACAATGCTTAGTGAGTTACCCCCTGGCATGTAGCTGTCGCCTTCTTCATCACTACCTTCACTTTCTTCTACTCCGTGTAACTTTCTGAATTCGGATTCCTTCTTCCTGAAATCATCAATCTCCTGCTGTATCTTTGATCTTGCTTCTGAATTGAATGACGGACTGGTATCGTTTTCCATACTCTCGTCAACAATATCATCTGATTCCTCTATGTTGTACTTCTTTTTAAGCTCTTTTTCGCGTTTTTCGATTTCCTTTATCTCGAGCTCAATTCTGTCTTGCACTGAAACTGGTTTTATCTTCTCATCTTCACTGCTTTCATCATCAGAGCTGTTAATTCCATTGCTCTCTACCGCGGTACTACCTTTTAACTCTTCTTCACGTCGTTTCTGGTCTTCTATTTCAAGGTTTATTTTCACTGAAATATCATTCTTTTCTTCTTCACTAATATTATCATCTTCTCCCTCTCCCGAATCTACATCGTCTTCTTCCTTTACGGATTTTCTTCTGACTTCTTCCTCCCTCATTTTCTCTTCTTCTATCTCAAGTGCTATTTTTTCCCAGGTGCTCAGTGTTTCTGCTTTTTCTTCTTTTTCGTCATCACTTATTTCTTCTATCTCTTCACCTCTTCCCTCATCTATGTCACTTTCCTCTCTGAAAACATCTTCGTTATCTTCTCCATCTGATTCTACATTGGTGGCTTTTCCATGAGCTAAACGTAGCTCTTCTTCCCGCTGCTTCTGTTCTGCGAGCTCCTGCTCGATCTTCTCTTTTGCTGATAGATTGCTTTTTGATTGGTTTGATGCGGATTCATCTTCTTCGTCTTCTATTTCTATTATCTCGTATGAATCATCGTTGATATGCAGCGAATTTCGAGATCTTCCGTCTCTCGATGAAGACCTGCTCCCTCTTATTCCGCGATCGACTAGTGCATTCTCTGGCACTTCTGTAGAGGATAGATTTGTTGTGCTGGACGATTCTCCCTTTTTCTTCAAAAGTTTACTTTGATCTTCAATGCTGTCAATATTGTCATTTGGAAAGCTCCTTCTATGAGATTTATTCTGTGCTATCTTCTTTTTTTCAGGGCTTATCCTGAGCTCTGTCTTGCTTCCTCGTGGCGATTTAGCAGATTTGCCTTCGGGAGTCGAATAACTTCTTGTCATTTTCCCCTTTGAGGTGACTTTAATTTGTTTTGTCTGTGTAGAAGCGATTTCTCCGGAGGAAGATAGCGAGTTTCGTTTCCCAGAATCTGATTTTGTTGGTGATGTAGCTGAAGATCCTCTCCCTTGCTTAATTGTCACGGTAGTGCTGTAAATCTTAGTTGGCGATGTAAGTGATGTTCTAGAAGATGACCTTGAGTTCTGGGTGGAAGACATCCTTTCCTCTTTCGTTGGAGATCCTGTTGATGAGCGGTTTGACTTGGATTTAGAAGGAACAGGCTCATTTACGATTTCAAGACTACCAGGTCGGTGTTTAGAAGTATCTGAGCTTTTTGAAGATCCCCTTGATAATGATGGGTTTCTTTTTTGTCCGATCTTCTCCTCTTCTTCATCTTCTTCATTTTCTGACTCTTCATCTTTTTGCTCCTTTTCTACAATATCATTTTCTTCCAATGAATTATAAGACGCTGATTTTCGCTTGTTGGCGATTGCATTCATCTTTGACATCAGCTCTTCTTCCTTTCTTCTTAGCTCTTCGATTTCTTTCTGGGTGTTTTGAAACTCAACATCATCATTGAAGGTTTCTTCTTCATCCGACATCTTGTTTTCGAATTCAGGAATGTTTATCTCACCTTGAGCTCAGTTTGATTACCCAAGTCCTATTGAGAAGAATCAACATTGACTTGGTAAGAATGGAAATAACCACAAGAGCTTTTAATTAAACTGGTTAATGTGTAGACAGCCGATATAAGTTTGACTTTATACATAATCTATTATTAATTCAAACTGGCTAAAAGCCGTGAATTAATCCAGACACCTGTTTGAAATATATCTTTTGAAATACTTTCAAATCTACCATAATATCCTCAACTTGCAGAAGCTTTTGCTGAGAGAACTTTACGTATAAACCGCATCTCGTATACTTTGTTGGGCGCCACCTTAGAGTTTTTATTGTTAATCCGTTAAGGTAATATGTTACATCCTTTAAATAGGATAATCCAAAAACAAACGAAAACAGATTTGTCTTTGAAGGGGAACTTTCATTTTCTTCGTCCTAGCAAAGCTATTTAAAACTGTATGCTTTATGGTATCGAACATTTGTTAACAGGCTAGTGAACAGTAAAATTCATAAGGCCGTATTCCGGCACTTTAATTATATTCTGCTACGAATCCGAGTCTTATTGATTCATTCGGTTTCAATTATTCATCACAAAATGAACGTCCAGAATTAGGCAAGCCAGGATTAACGTCCTTATCATTCATACTAACGGTACTTATCATTACTTTTTGAAACTAGAGAGCATTCGTTTATCGAATGTATGTCGTGTCCTTAGATAGGCCTATAGATAATTTGAACATGGTATGCCTAGTTACCAAAGAACAAAATTTTCACAATAGATAAATTGCAAGTCAGCTAACAGCAATTATCAACATTGCTTTAATAAAGTTCGAGCCATGCAATAAAGTCAGTTCCTCAGTAAAACGAATCTGGAGACTACAGCCCTCTTCATTCATCCACCTAATGATTCAGTCGTTAGAGTTGCAGACTACATGCCTAAGGGGCTATCGAGTCACTTGAATTGACCATACTTTCACATAAGTAAGGAAAGTTGCCAGCTCTCTGTTATTCCGGGCATAGGAATCATGAGGTGTAGTCACATCGAGAGGGAGTGTGGTCACATCGAGAGGGAGTGTGGTCACATCGAGAGGGAGGACGTGGCCACTTTAATAAGCACAGCTTCTCACTTGCAGCGTCCTTATAACTGCCTACGAAAGCTTGATATAAGCAAGTAAAAAAATCAACCTCTTATGAAATTAGTTGGATTCATCCGTATTCTGTGCTTAGAAGACATTTTGGCGAACTATTGGCCCTAAAGAATGGATAGCAGATGCCAAACCATGGGTGCCTACGGCCTCTTAGGCTTCGGTCTCGATTATTATGATTATGATGACGACTAAATGGCATGAGGTTGTAGAATTTCTTTAAGTTATTGAGATCACTTACTTTTCTTTATATGGTTCAGAAATACCATTTAAATGAATTTTTTCTGAGTAGCTACAAAGTCTTAAGGCCTCATTATTTCACGAGCCAAAATAGTCTGGTATCCCCACACCCCCCCCCACCAAAATATGTCTTCCGTACCAAAATGTGTTATAGAACCTTGAAACTGCCTCTCTTTTGCGTCATTACAACAATGAAGCCAAGAAACTTTAGTTTATGATTTTACTTATTCATAAATATTTCAGACAATGAAACTTGTTGGTAACTACAAGAGTAATGGAATGCGTGTAGCCTGTAAATATTTTATGATCTTCATCCAAGCAAGGGAGACTTATATCGGCGACAAACCACATATTTGTACAGATGGTTTATTATTCATGGTCTGAGCATATTTCATTTGAGATAAGCTGCAGTTTTAATTCCACCAACTTCTCGAGTTTATTCCAGCTCACAACTTGTGTCAGCTTTCATATACATTGTATATGAATACCGTAGAGCATGGACGAAATTTGGAAACTGTCATTTGATCAAAGAAATACAGCTGTTTCATGGCTAATTACTCATTTTAACGGTGGTTCTTGCTTGTTTGACAAACGAACTTTAAAATATCTGGTTTCCATATGTTAACTGCACGATGACAATTCATTGGTTTTTATAAGAACCAGTAAATTGAAGTTCAGGTCGGCTGCTCTCAATTTTTCCAAATTTTCGAGAAAGGGCTGTTCTTATTTGTTCATAAATCATTAGGCTGTAACCAGTGAAATTGTGCTGAGAGAAGTGTTCAGGCTCTATTTGCCAACATTGTGAGGGCGCCATCCGTTCTTTGGCAATAAGTTTGAAAATTCACTGACAAAACACCTTTGGTGGCAAAAAATTCCATCGTTTTTTTAGGGGATTCCACAACTTTTTTCAAATTTACATTTTACAGTACCTCAGCCTAAGCTCAATCTTAATTCGTTCTTGACTTTTGACCCGTTTTGAGACTTGTGTTCTTACAAAATTGTTTTTATATGAAAATATTATCATCATCGTTAACATGATCATCATAGCCACAAATCTGCATCATTAAGGCAAAATCGCAGACATGGGGTTTTTAAAATGACGAAACACCAGTTTCTTAAATACTGCAAATTCAATTTTTTGACGATTAATTTAGAGACTTTTACTTGATAAAAGGCAATATTTGCATTAAGCGTATTTCCATACTAGCTTTGCTCTTAAATAGAGTGTTTTTTACCTGTCGATAATCTTAAAATGCCATGAAAAGCAGACATACTGGATAATCGTATTTTCTTGGGGATTTATCAATTTCTACCTGTAATAAGTTCGAAACACCAAAAAGCAGACTATAAAATGGCTTATTCAAATGCGATAAATCACTTGCAAGGGAAAACCTTGAAATCTCATTATGCATTTAAGCAGCTTTCAAATAATCAAATTAACTATTTTTCCTGGGTGTTTTGTTCGACTTTGACAACTTTTGGATGCTTATTGTTTTCTGCATTAGACTTTCAGACTCTTATGTTGTATCTTGTACTATTTTGATAGATTTTTCCAATTTGTTCACATTGGCTTACAGTGGCAACATTTGCTCTCTTTATACCCCTGGATTGCATTTTTATTCTCTCTCTCTTCGACTCTCAATAAAGCACAGTTTCTGCATTACCACAAGATGCATTAGCACAAGATGTTGTTTACATAAATTTCATATCTTTGTAGCAGATTGTTGGGGCTGTTGAAGATTGCACTATGCCTGTTTGCTCCTTGAATCTTTTTGACTCGAGGTTTCTTACTTTGTTGCAACATTGCATGTTTGATCTCGTTAAAGTCGACAAGTACACATTATCACTATGTTCTTGAAGAAGCCAAACCGAGCTAAATGCAGCCCATTGTGGAATTTGTGGGTACACTAAACTGAAGGTGACGCACGAAAATTCACGCGATGTTTCAGATATTCTATGCAGGTGGCAGATTATCTCTAGCTTTTTCAAAGTCTTATCTTCTACAGCAATTTGCCGTTTGATGGTATTTGAATATAATGTTTACATCTAAGGGAACAGCTAGGTCTATAAAGAGCTCATATTATATAGCTCCATAATGAGCAGTCTTTTTTGGAATCGATTAACATGTGCCTGAATCAATTCTATCAATCTTAATTTGCCTAATAGAAGCACAAACACTTTACGCTAATCTAGAATAACGAGTCATCATTTGTGAACCAGTTTTAGGCCCTACGCAGTCAAATACGTCCTAAATTGACCATTGTATGATTCCTTGGTCGCAATCAAATTTGAAATGTCCAAAATAGAAATGCTGCCGCATACTGTTTTTCTGCATTTTTTCAATCTGCATTTTGCAACGCAAATTATAGCTAATCTAGAAATTTTAGTTTTGCTACGTAGGTTTTGGCCTCAAAGTATCAATACCAAGGTCATTCATAAGTATTCGCATTCATGGTGGACCATGAGAACACCACAACTTTGTTTTCAAAGGGTGTACTACAAACGTAATTTCTAGTTAAAGCGTTTCTTTTTTATTTGGGAATCCCAAATTTTGATTAATTTGTTTAGTTTCTCGTTAGCTAAAACATTTCCACAGAATCCTGATTCAAGATTTGTAGCATTCGATCGCGAGGACATTTTTGGGTTTAAGGTTAAATATAACTTGCTGAAGCTGACTGTCACAGATCCACCCAACCTGATGTAATGAGACATGTTGTGACTGATTTCTTAACTTTTCTATGTCTCATTTGCCAAAACTAAAGCTAGGAGGATCTCTCTGAATCTCCATATGACGTTTTTGATAAAGCTCAAAAGGAAACGATACCCATATCTAGAATAAGTACATTTTTACTATCAAAAAATGCAATGCTATTTAGATGGTGCTTAAACGCCAACAGAAGGACAAGAGGTTTTTGAAATTACTCGAATAGTTTGTATATCTTAGCGCCTATTGAATACAGCTAGAAGGAGTTTCCAAAGGATAGTTGAAAATGTTCCATTTTTTAACCTGATTATCGCACAAGTTATCTGTTTTATCTGTTTACCGTTGAATAATTTGTGTTCACGAAGCAATTAATATCCCAAAACGCTCAAATATTGTTTGCTGGTTATCAATAATAAATAGCTATAAATTTGGTGTAATTCATTTTCTGTTGTCATTCGATAAATTTTGTTAGTTTACCTGCCTATTATATCGATGGTTAATCACCTACATATCAACTTGTAAATTGTGATAATTGTCTATGCATCTTGAATACCCGCAGATAATAGATTACCTAATACCATCGGTATTACCGTTACAAGGCCTGAATAAACATTATCATTTTAGGGACTTTTTGTTGCCTTTTATCGATATGTTCCACCATAACTGGTACTAAACTTTTTCACATTACAAATAACAAGCCAAGACAGATCACCCTATCAGACTTAATATACTTCTACCTTCTCTACATTGACGTTCGGATGATAGGAGATATTTTGCATGGCAATTTGAAACTTTTGCTAATGAGAAAATATAATTTGTTCCAACCTACAGAGTGGTTAAAATATGCAATCATGACGTACTGGAAGCTCCTCCTTTTCACAAAATTGTGGCACATTTACTTTTACATGATGTATTGCGGTTTCAAGTTTGTATTAAATACGCCTTGTTTTCTTTCTTTGAATTTTTCATTAGGTCATACGGCTGTCATTTATAAACTGCAACCCTGTGACCACACCTCAATAATCAAGAGCAGCTTTGCACACATGCCAAGCCATAGATCTCTAATATCCAAAACACTTTAGAAAGTCTTCCTTTTCAACAATATATAGATCAGTTATATAGATCAATATATCTTTAGCACTTGACTCCATATCAACACCATCGCCTGTATACAGCAGTTTCGATGGCTCCTGCTGTTACAGAATTCTACCTACATGTTGTGCTTATATCGGTTAGGAATGTTTGTGGTTATGAGATTCAAACATCATGACACGAAACATTCAAGACAGAATCTTCTATTCCTCGTGAAATTTCAAAACCTTTTAAATGCTGTGTTCATTTTCTTACCCAAGTGTGAAAGCACCTTGGAATTCTGAAGACACCTTGACGGCGTCTTTCAATGATGTACAATAACATTCAAGTACCGAAGATGTGTCCACAATTAAGAAGATTCCTCCACTTTGTTTACACAAAAAACATGCTAATAAACATAAACACGAATATCGAAGAGTTTATTTTGAATGATTTAGCAACGAATATTTACCTTTTAAATCCTTATCGCAAGCTGGAAACTTCAAATTTCGTCTTGAGCGACTTTCATGCAGCCGACGCCAGCTTCAGGTGGCTCAACTCTAGACTAACAACCTGTACATAGCATAAGCACGTGATCATATCACGTGGTGAAACTGAATCGCCAAATTATTGATGGTAAGGGTGTTTAAAAAATCATGAGATTGAGACAGGTTGCTTTAGACTCTCCATTGTTTCTAGTTTTCAGCTATTCACCTGCTTTTCTAGTTGGGAAAGCTCATTTTTTAACTGAGATTGATTTACTACTCGTTTTATGAATGAAGTAATTGAAACGGTGTTCTGTGAAGCTGAAATCCTAATGCAGCTTAGTCTTGGCTCAGTTTTGCCTGCAGTTTTGCTGTTTAACTGGCGTCAGGAAGCTACTGTTATTTGCTTCATCGCAATTTTTTTTGGTAGCATCCATAGTTTTAATTTTCTTCCAAAACTTAATAGAACTTCCAGCACGTCGCCTGCAGGTTTCTTTATGACAATTCATAATGCGATTGTTATCTGTCATTAGTATGATATGTCTTAAGTTGAATTATGTTAGCTTTGCTTTGTCGCGTTGAAGCAAACACAGTCAGTCTCCTGAAATAGAAAGTGTAGGCCCTTTCTTGCATTTGAAACAAAATAGGAATGTTTGTGCCGATGAATCGAAAATACATGGTGTTTGCATTACACCAATGATAACACACAAATAGTTGATAAATTGCATGAGCCAATTTTTCTGGTAATATATTTCTTTCAATATTCTATATCTCTTGATTCTTTTTGAAAATATTTCCAGCTGCTAAAAGATCTGGTACCACTCCTTATTTGTGTTCTAAAATCTTTCTTCACGTCCCTCAACCACTGATCTCTATAAAAAACTTGATCAAGCTTCTACCGTTTCAGACTGAGGTAAATGTTGCTTGTCCGCGTGGCACCCACCGTAGAGTATGGGCCTACATAAGATTACAAATAACTATGTCCAAGTTAAGTTATTGGATAAATTTAGGTTGAAAAACAGACCAGAATTGTAACTTTAGAAATTTCCCAACGTTCGATGTGATCAAAGACGTGAATTGTCGTGCTACACGCTGCGTCCAATACACCTTACAGTCGAAGCGCTGTATGTTTTGCTTTACTGAAAAGCTGGTCAATTGGAGATAGAGGTTGGTAGTTTGGTAAAAAGTACTTTTTGACATTGGGTAGCCCGTTTAACACTCATGTCGGTTCCTTTTGGTGTGTCGCTGTGAACGGTGGTTCCCACGGTTCTAGAACCTAATCGAGTTTGGCGGGCCTCGGTTCTCATGTGAGTCAAACAACAAGAAGCTCGATCCAGTCTTTTGTAGGGATCAGTGCCCTCAACAGCCACTGCTTTTGTGTCTTTGTCTCCCTGATTTCCCTGTGACTAACACACCTCAATAATTCTTTATTCACCGTCTCTCCTACGTGAACTACAGTGTCAGTCTCTATAAGGCAATTACTTCTCTGGTGCTACACAAATCTTCGTGGTGTTTTTACACAAGTCACCTCCAGATATTTCTTCGAGTTTTCTTCTGGATCCCCGTGTATGCTCCACAGCACCGGCATTGGTAGCGCCGTAAACTTTGTGTTATTCTTGTTATTATTATCAAGTATCACGTTGCTGACCTCACGTCATCTTTTCAGCCGTACCTTTATTTTTCCCCCACATCTAAATCCTATCTTTTGTGATGGATAGATTTTCATTGCTTCATTATACCCCATCAATCTTGCTTTTTAATCTCATCTACTCTCGGTTTTCTTTCATTCATAGTAATATAACTCTTGAATTAATTTCTTTCTGCTTCTTTTTCTCATTTCAAATTTTTCTTTCAAACCCATCTACCTTGCAAATTATTGGTAGCATTGGTCCAAGTACAGCACCTTGAGGTGCAGCATTGATTACATGAAACAATGTAGTTTATCTAATCATCATTATTGAATTGAAGTGTGCTCTTTTTGGAATTATCAAATCATCTTAGCATGCTTTAGAAACTTGAAATGACATTTCCAGCATGGTATCTTTGAGGGTACTATTTCTGAATGCGTCTTTTGAGTTTAAATGCTGATGTTTGTGTAGGTGTGTCTATGCTTTAGTCGCAAACATCTGTGATATTCTAGAGGAAATTGACAAGACATGTGAAAATAAACAAACTTTGAGTGCCATAGCGCATTGCTGTTTCTCCTGTTGCTTCGAAATTCGAACGTGAACATGTCACTTTTTTGACAAAGTCAGTCAGAAGTAGATCGAATATGGTGGGTTTTTTAGGAATGTTAATTTTGATGAAAATTGTTTCCTATAAGCGTGGTTGGCGTTCTGATCTATAACAGAGAACATTGACAAGAGATGTACAAGTGAAATTTCGAACTAAAAATGTTGAAAAACTATAGCACGACCATTAAACTACCGTAGCCATTGGGTGCCTTAGGAATGGAAGGCTGGTGAAAAATATTTCCTAAAGGATGGTTGTTGTTCTGACAAAGTAAAAAGGGCTGAGAACTAACGCTTTGCTTTAGAGTTTTATTCCCTTCGGCCATCATCTTCAGCTCTGATGGAATACAATAGTATGTGATCTAAAGCACACAACTTAAAGGACATGTGTCGTGAACATGATAGGCAATACAATTATCTTTTTTGTTTATTACAAAGCATGGAATCAAGGTTGAATTTTTACGGCAGTAAAAGTTCAACAAGAAGAAATGAAAAGTCACGAAACAATGGAATTTCACTCCAAACACTCTTCTTTTATCAGCTAACTGTTAATGCGACATATGCCCTTTAAATTTATACTTACTTACAGGAATTTACACTGAGCAAAGAAAATGTTATATAACCTATACAAAACACAAATCATAGAAATTGTTCATATGCGTTTGGACTCTGAGTAGGGGAGAAAAAGGGATTACACAGTGTTGGTTTCTGGAGCAACAAACAATGCCGTGTACTGTAACATAAAGGTGTATGTTGTACAACTATGGTCCTCTTTAACTCTATAATTTCTGTCAGCGTGCATGCTTCCTCTAGCAACCAACAAAACTAAAACGATGCTAACAAGTTTTTTAAACGAAGGATACTATATAGGTCGCATAACATCATACACGTAGCTAATATATTTTAGCTTTTGTTAAATACAGTTTTATTATTGTGCATCCGTTCTCTTCTACTTTCGCAATAATTTCTCATCCCAAATTCTTGTGTTTTTATTGTAAAACATGGCCTCCTAACATGCAAACACGACGCTTAATCAGCGAAAAAAATTTATTAACTGCGGCGATTTTAAATATTCTATTCAATTTTTCTCCATAATGTGATTTTTAATTCTTTGCTCTGGTTTACCGACTCAGATGTTTCATTGAATATACATAAACACTGCTTGTCATTTCTTATGTTTTTGTTTTTTCTTTATTAAACGAACCTTGCAAATCGAGCGGTATGCAAATCAAAGAAAACTGATTTATTGTTCACAAAAAATCCGTTCATGTTTGGGATTGGGGTAGCAGCAAGTATTGCAAAGTATTGCAAAAACTATACTTGCTTCGAGGTTTAACTTTTTCATTTTGAAGGCTGCTGCATCCTGTCTTGTTGCTAAATGTGTAATCTTTTATTGAATATCTGTTAAAATTTTAGGCTAAACTACTCTTGACCCGTATCTGCAAGTAGTCTTGAACGTGTTGCTTTTTAAGAGTTTGTGACTATAGTAGCGTTTCAACAAAAGCAGTGAAAGGTCCCATCAACGACCAGTTTGTTGGCCACATAATTAGCTACAGGTCGTATATGTAGGCAAACAGGAGTTGTTGGCCACAAAATTAGCTACAGGTCGTATATGTAGGCAAACAGGAGTTGTTGGCCACAAAATTAGCTACAGGTCGTATATGTAGGCAAACAGGAGTTGTTGGCCACAAAATTAGCTACAGGTCGTATATGTAGGCAAACAGGAGTTGTTGGCCACAAAATTAGCTACAGGTCGTATATGTAGGCAAACAGGAGTTGTTGGCCACAAAATTAGCTACAGGTCGTATATGTAGGCAAACTGGAGTAATACTTAAATGATTACGGACCGTATTCTATATCTTGGCTCTGAGTTCTTTGATTTTTGAACCCAACTGACACACCTTTGAGATTTTTAAATATTGCTAATTTTTTTCGAAAATTCAGTGCTTATTTGTGTCAAGGTGTTCCAGCATACCTGTGCACCTGCAGTCTAGGCAATTTGTTTATTCATCTTTTTCACTCAAAAGGGAAATGGTTATAGAGTAGAGGAAGTCAAGCTTAGAAGGTTTATCACATGAATAGTGAATATCATCAATTTTCGGCCTAGCCAGTCACAATTGAAAACTCTTTGCCCTATCATTTCATTTTACGGTGTCTTTCTTGGCGATTGCTTGTTATCTGTCCTCATGTATAGATGAGTTGTATTTTAAGGTGGCCTTTAACGGTTGTATTCCAAATATCCTTGTTTTCTGCTGCTGGAGTTAAGATAAGCCAAACTTTGAGCTGCCAAACTCAAACAATCTTTTCAGCTTTGTTTGATGCCTTCGTTTTTAGGGATATTTATCATTTGTCGTTTAGTTCCAATAAAATAAATGGCATTAAAGCTGTAGGCATTTTCAAAATAAAATAATTTTCATGTATGTCTTTTGCTATTTATTTTTTAAAATTCTTAATAGCTTGCTGAAAAAAAATTCCAGACAGAGCTAACGAAATACACAAAGCCTAAATGAGTCCAGCTTTAATTTTTCCTCGTTTTTATTCTCTTTAATTCAACGAACCGCCCCCTCATCCTTTATCTTTCTACTTGCATATTATATATTACTTAAAATTCCCAACTTATTCATTCATTGACCACAGCAACTCATTAGCTCAATTATTTTTCTTTAACTTTCGAACCTCACAACTGTTCGCTAATTCATTTGTGCTTGGTTTTTCGTTCCATTACAAACTTTCTTTATCTTCCAACACAAAAGAATTATTAAATGCTTATCAAAAAAATTAAATTCTCAACTAAATTATATTAACTTCTGCCCATTATAATTCGTGACAGCCTTTATTAAAATTTTCCTTCATCGTAATTTGCAATAGCTGATTTTTAAAAGTCAACCTGTTAAGTTTTTAAAACTTTCATCAGACTTATTTTTGTGCGATTGCAATTTTAAAGGCAGTTAGAACTTCTGTTGTTTCTTTTAAGCAGGTGTTGGTCAAAAATAATTCGTATTGAAATAACTAATTTTTCTTTCTTAATCAAACACTTGACGCTTTTCAGAAATTCAGACCTTGCCAAATGAGTTTATTCATAAAGCAACTGCTTCTCATTATTATAATAGAAAGTTGGACCTTTCCTGCAAGCCACACAAATTATTGTATTTTATTTATAAAACATTTTACAGATTTAAATCGTCACAACATGATGTTTAATTAATGGTGAATAAAGCTAGTGTTGAAAATTTAAAGCTTGAATTTTGATGCTTATGTAAAGTTAATGCCAGGTTTTAGGCCATGAAGACAGAGTTCAGGCTTCATGTAATAAGGCAAGTTTTAATAAGCCCCCACCCTCAAATAAGCCCCCATGGGCTGAATTAATGCCTCGACAGCGATTGTTTTACCCTCAAAATTTCGGCATCTTAAAGCATACTGAACAGCCTAGGAAGGAAGGAAATTTACCCTGGTAATATTTTTGGCTGCTGCTAAGTAAAGCCCTTTTGGCTGCTGCGCATGCGCTGATTCATTAGGCTCCACATACCGTATCTCTTTTATCAAGACAATCTAAATTTTAAGAATTTTTGAAAAGCCAGAAAAGCAGCAAAGTAACTACAAATAGACACAAATCATCTAAATGAATCATGACAACTTAACGCAATAAAAATGAAAAGCTAACTGAAATGCCATATGCCTTGAAACTAATGCATACAGAAATTAGGAATTTTCCCACTTAATTACAGATTAATGATTTAATCGCATAAAGTCTAGCTTTTATGTACAAAAATTCTCGTATAGTAAGTATCAAGAGACAAAAACCATCAAATGTTTTTAAAGCCCTCCTTTTATATCTTTCAAATTTTAATTTGGCCAGTGGATGCATTCTACTGTATACTCGACAATTACCATGGTATTCCCCACAACGGTTCTATGTTACCTAACTGTAGGCAATCAAACTGAAAAATAACGAACGATATTATACATCTGTTTAGTTAGTAGTGCGATACTTGCCTTCTATTTTTTGGTCAGAACCGAATACAACATTGCATACGCTTTTCAAAACAGTGGATCTACCCTTTGCTCTACGATCTTATCAACCAAGTACTTTGTGTAATGTTATTCTTATCACTTATAACACCACCCTAGTTGAAAAACCTACATTTTCAGAAATGCTTAATATATTTCATATAGACCTGCTGTTCATATAAACGGTGGTAAAAGAACACTAAGAAAAAAGATAGCAAAAGTTATCGTGGTGAGGGAATGTGAAAATATTTGGCAAGGGTATTGCTATTTCAGCTCGCTTAATGAATGTTCGAGTTAACGGGAGTTCGAATTATCGGGAGTTTACTTTACTTGTACCTTAGATCTTTACGACACCCTCTATAAAGCTTGATTTACACTCAGTAGAATGAATTGATATTTGCTATTTATTGTTAGTTATTTGTAATAATTTTATAATATTGACACCAATATGAGATTTATGTACACAGAATTCTCAACACTATAAGCAATGTCCCAATGGCAGTTTTTCTCAACAATTAAGGCCATATAATGACCAATAATTTTCTTCAAGACCTTCCAGCATTATCGCTGCATCTAATGCCAATTTATCGCATTTTTTGGCCATTTAGATATCTATTATCCTGTGCCAAGCCACTTTGCGTTTGTGGTAGTGGGATTATCCACCAGATAGAAATTGAATATCGAGATTTCCGTTGAATCTAGCATTGATTTGCAAGAGGTTCGATGCTCTCTGGGTGTGTAGGAGGGTCAGTGGCATACCACAGGTATCCTCATACCAGCTGTTATTACCTTAGTATTGCTTTATAACATACCGTTGAGTACCTTCTATTTACAGAACCTGGCGGCTGAGGCATCACTGGTTCATGTGCGAAAGAGACAATATTTTGGATGCATAAAGGCGTAAGTTTTTTGGAACATGGTAAATTCAATAGGTATTTATTTTAATTAGTCTTTGTTTGAGAACCTCTAGTAATTAGAACATTCACTTGGTTTAGGAAAGACCATACGTAGAATCAGAGCACTTCAAGGTATTTCCCCTGGCTGCGGTGATCGAGTTCACCCATTTCTTAAATCTTTTCAATAACTTTTACTTCTCGTTATACCTTTAGTAAAAGCAATTTACATTTTTGAGTACGAAATGGTGAAAGATTTTAAATAAATATCAAATAAATTACATATATTTTTTATGGTATAATTTGATATGATTTGATATCACAACTTAATACCCTTTGGTCAGCCTTTTAAGCCACAAGATTTAATAATTTAATGCCACAAAAGTACCATACCACAAAATTGCATTACATCGATACGATATGTTTAATGCTTAGCAGTGCAACTAGTGTTTGAGGAATTTTTAAATAGACAATTAGTGCTATCCAAATAGTTCATTGTACATTTCCAGAGTGTCATATTAAATGAAGCTTCTATGCTATATAGCTACCTATCCACATTTCGTTGATTTTTCCTCGTTCTAAGAAATCTGAAAAACTATGTTGAAAGTATATACTGCATACCTTATATTGCAAGGTATTCATACTTCACTTTGATGTAAACTACGAAATCTTTTAATCATCTTAATCAGAAATGCAAATGCGAATTCTCATACCAATAGTCAACGTTTTGATTTTTTTAAATTATTTGAATGTAAGGTAAGCAGTTTTGGAACCTCATTTTCTTTCTCGTGAATTACTTAAAAGCAGATGGTATACTCAACTTTCCAACTGTTCTTTTCTTTCCCGTGTCCGAGATTTGTTTCTCTTGGCTTTTAGCAGTAAAGTCTTCTGCTGAACTCCCTATCCAGCTCATGACGTTTTCGTTGTTGTCGATTTGCTTTGAATTTTGATCCTCCTCTACGTCATCTAGTCTAAGAATATTCTGAGTGCCAACAGCCTTTTTCGGCTCAGCATCTTCTTCGAAGATTGGAGCTTGATCCTTCTTCTCGTTCCATCTTCCGGATTGCGTAGGACGACCGGGTGTTGGTGGCCGCTTCATAAATGGCTTTGTATTATCTTCATCTGTGCGCTGGAATGACTGCATCAGCGATGATGACAATTTCCCTGTTCCAGTGCCCTTGATATTTGTATTCTTAACTTCTCGTCCCTCGCCGATGATCCCGACCTGCTGCTGAAAGTTCACTTTCTTTGGTAAATTAATTTCATTAACCCCTTTTCTTTCAAAGCTGACTTTGTTGGTATTATTCGCATCTGTATGTTTTCCATTGCTATTTTGCTTTGTGTTTCCATTAGCCTGAAAACTTGATGCAGTATTCTGTCCTTTTGTTTGTATTGGGCTCATGTTTTCATTTTGTTCTTTATCACATTCCTTTATTGTGTTGTTTATCTTATTATTGGGTGTTTTGCCAGCCTCTTCCTTGGGTCCTTTACTTTTGATAGCACTTTTTGTGATAGGTTCTTGACGCTTCTTGAAACTTTCGTTTCCAGTGTTTCCGAAAACAGATGGAATGGCAATCTTTCCCCGTTTTGGTGCTCCCATTTGTTCTGTTTCCGTTTCTTCTTTAATTTTAGTCGCTTCTGTCTTAAAACGCGCTGGATCTTCAGCCTGTTCATTATCTCGCTTTTCAGAAACAGGCTGATCATTACTTTCTGTTTCTTCTTCAAATGTGCTTATAGGTAAAGAAGATTCAACTTCAATGCTGGTATTCTCTTCCTCGGATTTTTCTTCATATCTAGTTTTTATAGCATCAGTTATCATTTTCCGCCTCTCAGTTTTATCCATCTCTGCGTCTTCTTTTCTTGAATAATCAGACCTAGACTCTTGTTCTTGTTGAGCTTCATCTTCGGTTCTTTCAAATTCCGCCTCGTTCCTAGAAGTATCCGTCTCACTCCCTCCAGCATTGAACGAGGCATTCAGAGAACCACTCATGCTAGACGTTGTGCTGTTGCTTGATGCTAACCTGTTCTGGAATATATTTCCTAACTGAAATTCTAGGCTTCCGCTGTTCACCTTACCATTTTCTTCACCATTTTCATTATTACCCTCAAAGACATCATCTTCACTTTTGTTGCCAGTATCTTCATCTCTTGGAGTGCTAAACAAAGTGCTCAATGAAGATATGCTTGATGAAGACAATCTTCCGATCTCTTTAGTTTCATTCTTCTTTGAAGATGTTGAAGATGAAGAAGTTTGACTTGAAACTGATCCAGAGCGGCCTTGAAGAATTCTCTCTAATTTATCCTTCATTTGATTGGTCATGCTCGAAGGAAGCTGTCTCTCAGGACTAAGATTGTCAATTTCTTCGTACCTCTCGCTCTTTGAAGATCCCAACCGCAATTTTCCCACGCTTTTCTTCTCAACTTTCTTTTTATCAAACACTGCTTTGTTTTTAGCTACCAATGAATCTTCTTTCTTTTCATCCACTTTAGCCTTTTCTGGCTCAAAGAATGCCTTTAAATTTAACTTTCCAACGGGTTTCTTCTCTTCTTCTGCTCTTGAACTGCCATTTTCTTTTACTCCAGATTCTTCATTTGGTCTGGTTTTGTCAGTGACATTTCCAGTTAACTTGCTGATAACATCATCTTCATCTGCTAAATAGCCTTGTCCGTTTCTTCCGCTTACTGTCTCACTAACTGGCCTACCTGATGTGTTAGAAACCTTTTTCGCATTGCCCCTCTGCGATTCATCTCCATTCTCGACCGTCTGCACCCTGTTTCCCGCTGGTACTTTTCTCAATGGAGCTTCATTTCCTTGCGGACTTGTGAACGCATTTGGCATCTTCAGTTTTCCTACCCGTTTATTCCCACCGACACTTTGGCCACCATTTTCGTTATTCGTTTGAACCGCATCAGATTTAATCTCACCTACGTTATCGTCTCTCTTCTGATTCATGCTGGTTTCCCCGTTTGTCTTACCTTCTCCAGCTATTCCATTCAATACTATATCACTATAGTCAGAGGCCTGTATAGGTGATTTGTATGACTGTTTTTGTTTGAACTCAGTTGAGCAACTGGTGGCCGAATACACTTTTTCGTTAGTCAGCCTGACTCCGTTTTGCCTATTTTCTTTAACACCAGTTTTACCAGCCATTTGCTTTGAAATGTTTTCCTTTTTTAACCAATAATTTTTCGCATCATTTTCTGTCTGCCTTTGCTGCCCGTCTTCACGCATCAATCCTTGGCCCGTCATATCATATTGCGCCTTCACAACCTCTGCTCTTCTTTCTTCATCACCAGCGCAAACTTTGTCCCGTCTGAAGCTAACTGTCTCCTCCCTATCCCCGTTTTCATGCTTACTCTGCTTCCACTCAGCAAACGGAATGGCCATGACATCTCCCATATGACCCTGATACCCAGCATCTGATTTCTTTTGCCGCTTCCAATTGCTTCCCTCTGTCGGGTTCCCATTTGAAGCGGGTGCAACAAATGTCGTTGGCATTGATAGCCTTCCGACGCTTTTTTCTTCTTGCGCCTCGGGTTCTTTGCCACGCACACAGTCAAACAATTGTTGCAGATTCTGGTTGTCCTGTATTAGTTTTGATGCAGGCCTATTAATATCATCCCCATCGTTTGAATCATTTTTGTTTATCATATTTTCGTTAATCTCTTTTCTTTTTATTCCAGAGTCCTTGGCTGTCTCTCCCCTGATGCTGTTCTGTTTATACCCTCCATCGAATCCATTTGAGCTGCTTTCATTCCCAAGCTTGAAACTTTTATTCCCGGCTTCTTTATTCTGCTTTTTTATAATCGCAGTACCAGCGTTTTCTCTTCCTGTCTTTTCTTCCAAGAATTTCGATGGTATCTTGAGCCGTTTCGGCGGCTGATTCCCAGATGGTTCACAGTAATCCATTTTGTGTTCTGTTCCCTTTTCGTTGCTGGTTGGTAAGAACGAATCGCCTAAATCACTGTATTTTTCTTGTAAATCCAGTCTCCTTTCCTGTGGTTTTCTGGGACTGATAACAACTTCTTCGTCACCAAATGCGGTGAACGCTGTATTCTTTAATAAATTAGGAGTTCTTGTGTAAACATTCATTGCTTGGGCATAACCCTTTTCGTTAACTTTTCCAACCCCAAAACAGTATCACAAATGTATATCAGGCCTTGTCAACACTTCTTTGTCTGTTTCCCCTGTAGCTATAAGACGAGCGAATTGGTGATTTTTGTAGAATTTTCAAAGCACAAATAACTGTAGAACCGCAAATTAACTGCGTTTGCAGGTTACGTTTACGTTGCCATGGTGACGAGGAAAGCTATTCTCCATTCATTTGCTTGTTCAAATCTCTTGTCTCAGCTCTCTTCTGAAATGCTGCATTCCAAATGTTTACAAATTCTTATAAAATTCCTCCGATAGTATTTCTTGCATCTGTTGGATAAGGGACTGCTTATCTTTTCTACGCTGTGTGTCAACCTGTTCAGCTTTTGTTAAGAGAAGGAGACAATTGGCTTTTCATAATGAAGTCGGTTGAAAGTTCTAGTTTGTGACTTCACAATTATCTTTTTCTTTGCCTTTGTAAATGTAATCAATGATAAAATTAATGCTTTTTCACCTCGTTATCAACTCTTTACTTTGACCTATCTCCAAATGCTTCATTTAAATTGTTCTTTCCTTCTGTTACATTTCTATTTCCTCTAATTCTTCACACATCCTCAAGCCAGACCATTTAATGGGGGAACAGTTGCTGTCAATTCTTACATTTATTTGTTACCGATTCCAAGTATTTCTATATTACATAAAGCAATTCCCACGCCTTTGTATAGTGCGTAAGTTTTCTCTCTAAGTTTTCTGAAGCTGTTGATGTTCAAGAAATGGCCACCAACTCCCTAAGTAATTTTTTGCCTCTGAATTATCTTCTTTCCAAATTAGTTGCAAGTCTTTGCCTTTTTTCTTGTTTTGTTCATGGTTTGCGCTTTGTGATCGATGTTTTTCTAGAGGTTTCTATATATCACAATGTGGTCTTGCTCCTTACCACAATCGCTACGCAGCCAGTATAACTAGCTCTTCTTTATATGTTAATGGAATTCCATTTGCTTCACGCATACCTAGAAGTAGATGTGAGTCAATAATCCAACGGTATAGTTAAACTTAGCAATACCTAGCAAAAGAATATGCATTTTAGAAGATAAAACTATTTTAAAACGACAGATTATAGAGCCATCACAGGAGAGACAAAAACATGAGAAGCCTGAAGCAAATTCTCGCAAGTTTCGTGAAAATAAAAATCTTCTCCATGAATGATTCCCTTCTTTGGAAGGTCTTACTAAAATGAGTGTCCCCATTTATGATTATGCAGGTAAAAGGTACTTTATATGACGGTCAAAACTACTTTTTAAGATTAAAGAAGGCCACTGCTACCTAGGATGAGGAAATAGAAAACCTGGAAAACATTTTCACTGATGATGCCATTTTTCTTTAATCAAGTTTGAGACATTTCTTATTTACAGAATAATATTTCTTTCTAAGCCAACGATAAGTAAGTTTGTCTAGTACCAGAAAACAGCTTAAAATGTAATAGTCCTCCCACGGTAGGTCTCCATATGTTTACTTGCCAATGAGAATTTGCCATAAATTTTTATCATGATATACACACTTTATTAAGAATACCTAATATTTTGCTAAGCCTCAATTTTTTAATTTGTTTTAGCTTTAGACAGAAAATTATTATTTAATTATTTTTAAGCGACATAAGGTATAACCGGGTTGCACTATAGTTTCAGTGTCTCCAAAGCCAGAAACATCTATTTCAAGTAATTTATCGTGAAACTCGCCTTTGTTTTGCTTTCCAAAAAAACTCAGGTAAGCAAGAAAGCTTGAGCCTTGCATTATTCTTGAATTATTCTTAAATTTCAGTGTTTTTGAGTCTCAGAATTCTTATAGACTATATTGTTATGATAAAAGTGTGTATATAAGACTACTGAAGAAAGACTAAAGACACGTTGATCCAATCACCCCAAAAACATTTGAGACAATTGTTCATTGCTAAGCTCCGTACCTTTTTTCTTTTTATCGAGCCTCTAAACAAAATGACCAGAGTTTTTTGATAAGACAACATTTTCATGTGATAAGACAACTTTAACAAAGCAAGGGTAATGTGCTAAATTGGTTCATAGTTGATGAGGTGTTGCAGGGATAAAAAAGAACCCATTGCGTCATTTCTAGACTGATTCTTCTAGATCCACGTCATCCAGGATAACCATATGCGGTCATGTGATAACGGGATATTTAATTATTCAAAATGTTAGTCTGGATCTGTTTCTAGCAATTGAATCAGTTGGGAAATTTTCTTTTTGCTTGATTCAGTTAGAGTTTGCTTATTAAATAACACCGCATTTTCCAACAACATTTGCTAATAAACCATTCAAATTTCATTCGTTATGTCAAAACAAGTTAATCGATAACTGGTACATAAAGCAGCTTTCCTGTTCGAAGATAGAGTTTATTTGAATCTGCTTACATTAGCACATTCAGCCTTTATGCAGTTGGACATTAAATTTTCTTGAATTGACCAAGTTAGTGATTTCAACGCAGTCAAAAAGTCAACATCAAGCTTATTTGCCCGAATAATTCTGCTTGCATAATTCTAGGAATTGAATATGTCTCTTTTATTAAAGAATGGGATTATGACTCTTTTATTTATAAAACTTATTGACTGAATACTGTGTCCGGTGAAAGTTTTTTCCATGATAATGGCCTTTGATTATGGTAATTTTCTTCCTTCCCTTAAAAATGAAAATCGTTCATAGAACATGACGTATGTTCTTCAAAAACGGATTGAAAGATTCCTAAGCCGTTTCTCTGGTTTGCAATAAATACCAGAAAGAGTAAATCTGAAGCCGTTTCTTTGATTTCCCCACAGTTTTACTCTTTGAGGCTCAACAGTCTTGATTCTGGAAGTATCTTCTTGCTTAGTGAAGCGGCCTGCAAGCATCTCATTCAATTTTGAGTAACTGTTACAAATTAATGGCTAAAAATTGGTTTAGTTGCCCCATATAAGTCAAGGAAAGTAGTTCTTGGCATCTTCCTTTGCGCCTTTTCGAAATTATGCTCTGTCCAAATAGAATTTAAGTAAATATTCCTGTTTTGTTTTGTAAAATGATTGCATCTCAATAAACGTGACTAGTAGACATGCTTTGTAACATCTATAATGGTGTCATCAATATGAAATATGTCAATCAAAGTCAGTCAAAGCATTTTTTATCGAAGCATTGCACCCAAAACATACCTCTGTGTAACAAGCCCGGTAAGCTTTTTTCTTCAGGGTGATAGCATTGCAGGGGCTGCAAAATTTTCTTAAGCTGACAGAGGGTGGGATGTCGTGCCAAAGAAGGAGCTTAGGGGGGGATTATTGGTAGATGCCAGTGTCATTTTACAGAAAGATCCCACATATAAGAACCTACATTGTTTTTAATGATTTACGGTTTTGTCTCTTATCAATATTGCTATTTTAGTCTAACCTAACATTTCTTGAAAATTAAAGCAAATATCTTTTGCCCCGTTCAACCATCCCTTGTGGAATTTGGGATAAAACCTACCTGTGCGAATTATAAATTTTCAAAAGAAGTTGAAGTAGTCGTTTTCTGTCCTTTTACTTGAGAATTTACATCACTGCTTGATAGAAACACCAACACAACTTTTGCTTCAATTCTGCGCACTAAATCTCACTCATGTTCAACTCATGTTTAAACTGCATATTCTTCTAATCGGCTCTGTAGAGCTACCAGTTTCAATGCAACGCATAGAAGGAAGTTGCTCTGCTTCAAATACTGATAGTGGTTTTCATTTAGCCGTATTTTGTGATCCAATAAGAGTTACAAGCAGACTATTAATATCGTTGCAGTTTTTTGCAAGAGTTTTTGCTGTCGTATTACATAGAAGATTAGTGTTGCATTATAGAACCTCTGTTTTATAATCACTGGATTTCTGGTTCAGATTTTGTACGAAATATCAAGCAAAATATCTATGTAAGCTTCTTTGTATCTTTGTGCTTTTAAACCAGAAAAACCAAATTTCCAAGAAAATGAAGGCAAAATCTCTTAATTGAATGTTTTTGCATTTACTCTGTTCACTAAATAAGAACAATGAGCAATTTGTACCAATTAACTCTTGAGTTTTCAGAATTCGTTTCCAAGAAGTTGTGAAGATAGGGTGGTGATAGATGAAGACGTTGTGAGGAAGATAAAATCACAGAAATCTTCTTGAGAGATGGTTATAAAGCCCTGGTCAAACGATCCAACATTTCACCATGTTGGACGAAATGTTGGATCGTTTGACGACATTGTTGGGTCACCCAACATCGTAAATTTTGATGTTGGATGAAATTTGATTGAGGTAAAAAGTGTTGGCTGCTGACATCCAACAATTCTTTTGTTTTGAAGTGTTAGGTGAAATGTTGGATCGTTTAACCCTCCCAGCCAACATTGTTGGCTCTGCGCACGCGTAGTCGGTTAAAGACCGCCAAAATTCAATCATAGCATTGTTGTTTACTTTTCGGGTTGATTTCGTTCGCTTCGACTCTTGCTTCGATTTTCGCTTCGATTTTCGCTTCGACTCTCGATTCTGCTTACAATTGATAACATTTATAGCTATGGCGGCGATTGCCTTTCGTTTTCTCGGATCGAAATGTGGTGCATCGTTATGTGCGGCCATCATCGTGAAAGTCTGATATGCCTACTGTTGTTAAGCAACATCAATGTTACCTACTACCCATTCTCTTTTCAATCTGCGCGAGAAAATGTTGGGCGAAATGTTGGGTTTGACCAGGGCTTAAAGGCTGATTTCCCCTAGGCGAATTCTTTCGCGCGAATCGAATTTTTGCCAATGTGAACATGCGTGCTGTCATGTTCTCAAATTTTGCAGCGAAAAAAATCGATTCGCAGAAAGTAGACAAGTTCTACTCTATCGCTACGAATATTTATTCGATTCGCGCGAAAGAATTCGCCTAGTGGAAATCAGCCTTAACAAAACAGTATTTGCCTGTGAATCCAACACCAACGGGAGAAGAACTGCTTGTATATAACCTACTTAAAGCCAATTTAAGGTACCCGGGAAAAGAAGTCTCGAATAATGTGCGTATAAAAAGAACTTTCTCTCAAAAGCAGCCCTAATCGAGAGTACTTCTAAGGTAAATTGCTATCACAGCAACAAACAGGTATATCTGCAAAAGTGGAGTAACTCTAAATGAAACCGTAGCTGCCTTCAAAATGGCTGTCCGATTAATCACTGTGTCCATTTCCGAATCCGTAATGCAGAGATAATTATGAACTGTGTTATTATAGGCTATTGTATCCGTTGATAGTCCAGTTTGTGACTGTGTTGTATCATAATGTGTTTTAGTTTGTGTATAAAAAGCACACATATTTTGATGGAACAAATTAGACCTGCAATGTAACGGAAATTATCTACCTAACAACAAGTGATTTCGTTTTTATTTTTCTTGCTCTTTGAAAAATACTTATTTAGTTTTGTTGAAGAACTTTGCAACGTTTTGCAGAAAAATACTTTAAAGAATCTTCCGCAATCAAGAATCGAATCACTAGCGTTGCTCTTGAATTTGTCTCTTTTTCTTTTAACGACATGAAAAACGTAGAAACCAAGATATGTGTAAATTGGGGAGAGACATCATGGAACTTGTTGCTTAATTCTTACAATACACAGTTTATGGCTATTTCTAATAAGCTAAGTGCTACGATTTCCCATTTGAAGTTTCTCAGTACGATTGCGCAATACGTAAGTCTGATTAAACACTCTGTCATTAATTTTACATTGTATTGACTCATACAGAACTCATTGATATCAAATTATATCTGTGCCCGCACGTACCTCAAATGGTCTCTCCCTGAATCATCTGAATGCCTCGTTACTCGCCAATTCGTTTGTCAACCGAGATTCTATATTCACACCAATAGTTTTTATGCATTTGACAAACGCTTCGATTTATCTCGTTGAATACTGCTTACTAAATTATGCATCTCACGGCGATTCGCCTTCCGTGCTCTTCTTATTAATTTTTAACTTCCTCCGGTCAGGTCGTTGCATCATCTCGACATTTGAAGTAAAAGACATAACCACTAGCGTAGCTGTATTGATCTTGAGGCAATAGAGTTTTAATTGCGGATAGGAAATCGAATTCTGGCTTAACTAAGCAACTTCAAGACATTGTGAACGGCATTTTGCCTTGTCTATATACCTTATGATTAATGAGTCATAACATCCTTACAATAAACAAATACAAACTAAAATTACCAGTAAACAGCCATTTTTTCGCCATCTACATTGCAAAATTATTCATTTTACTAATACAGTATATGATATGATATGAATAAATATTTATACACGAAGAATAAACCCTTCAGCATTCAATAATATATGCATACAAATTTATAAAATAAGCAAATAAAAATAATTTCAAAAGCAATGTAATATCTAAGTATACTAACATTGCTGTTCTTCCAGAAGGTCGTGTTTTGAAGTTAACGTTTTTGATCAGCCCCTTTTTTGCCTGTTGTGTATTTAGTCTTGGGATCTGAAGATCATGCCAGTTTCTTGTTACATGGCTTGAGTGCATTGATCTTAGCTCAAATTTATCCCAAAGGCTTTCGGGGCTTAGTTATTCATAATCTTATAGGTCATAACTGACCGATCAAAAGATACAAGGTTATTGACGTTCAGCCAATCGCAGGACCAGTTGTCTTTTAATCTGACACTTTCGATTATCGATAGGGCTCTATTTTGTAATCGTTGGAGAGTTTCGAGTTTTTTTTATTGGGAGACTGCCCCAGATAACATCTGCGTAGCGTAGGTGACTTTCAACGATAGCGTAATATGCATTGCATAGCTCCGTCTGAGGGAGAATGTTTTTCAGTGAAGCAAGTCCCCCACAAATCTTGTTCTTAACAGTTGCTTGTCCCATTTCAAACTTCCATCAACCATTACCACTTATGATTTGGTTTTGGAAACTGGTTTGATTTCAGAGTCATTAAACTTTTACCCATTCGGCATATTTACAGCTTTTACTTTCCGAGGGTGGCCTAAAATCAAGTACTCTATTTTTGAAGGGTTAGGACTTAGCTTATTTACTCTCATCCATTCAGAAATGTTAAGTAACTCCTTTTGTGCATCCGCTACTAGTTTCTCAAAGTCATTTGATACTATTGTCACATCTGCAAAGATATTTGCCTTCGACAATTTTAGGCTTCGTTCAAAATAATTTAGATATATTATGAAGGTTATCATTTGAATACGTTGTAGTTTTGTTGATAATATAAAGTCGCCGATAGATTTGGCAACTGTAGAGAGTTTATTTGAAATGTAGGCCCAGGTGTTGGAAAATTGAGTTTTGAGAAGCGCAGTGAAATTTCCGACTTGCTCTTAAAGATATTATTTCAGTAGTTGTTCCATTTTCGACCTTTAAAATTAGAACTTCCGTTATTGGCTATCTGTGTGAACGTGAAATTTTGAAAAATGCCTATTTTGGAATGTGCAATAATTGACAAACTGTAATTCCATGGTTCTGTGAATGAAAAACCGATCTCGAACCACGGTTTTTCTTTTCCTCCGTAAACATGGCCATCTTCTTACAACTTGAAACCGTCCTGTTACAGCTTGAAGGTGCCTTTGGAAAACTTGAAATCTTTTTGTTCAAACTTGAAAGCGTTCTGTTAGAATTTTAAACCGTTTTACATAATCTTGAAACCATCTTTCGAAACGTCAAACTGTCTTTCTAAAACATTTGACCACTCTGTTAAAACTTCAGATCCTTTTTTCAAAACATGAAACCATCTTGTTTAAACTTGAGATGTTTTTGCTTAGCAAAAGAATACGAAACAGATGTTAAATCATTTGCAATTTCCACCTTAATTTGCACTCGCCCCCTTCCCCACTCCCCCATTTGAACTTCCATGGGACTCATGCTTGTTTAGATCTATTGAATCAACAACATGTCTAACTTTCAATGAATTTTCATGGGTTCAAAGCTTAAAAGCCTAAAACTGAATCTACCTCTTTTTGTTTTTGACAGGTAAGGAATTCAATAGATGTATAATGACGCGTGTATTATCGTTTGAAAGTCAGGTTTCGAATTCAGTTGGTTTTCGATAATGTTTACTAGCAATATAATCTAATATAATTAAGACCTGTTAAGTTTGAACATCTTTTATTTTGAAATTGTTCTTTAAATCAATTAAATTTACTTGTTTTCTACAATCTGCAAATCGATTCTTTGTTCTCAAAAAGAACATCTTGGTACTTCTTCAAACATTTGGAATCAGCATTAAAATATTTTTCTGGACATTTTGATGTGAGAAATTTCGAGAGAGATATTAAGTCAGGAAATTGAGACATCCCTTCTTGGCAATGCAGTCAACATTTCAAAATGTGAACTAATGTAAGCTTTTCGTCCTATGTGTTTTGAAATCTGTCTATATCAAAACAGAAGATTCCAGCTTCTGTACAAGACAGAAATTGTGAGATTTTACCGGCTTCAGATTGGTTAAAAACAATGAGCAGGTCTAACTTCCTTTTCTACAAAGTTATATTGTTTCCTGGATAAAATATGCTCTCCACCATCCAGGAAGTTTACAACAAAGACATGTAAAGTCAATTTATAATAAAAGGTTTAGTACTAATGTGTTTTGAAAGAATGAAAGGATGCCACCAATCTCTAACTAAAATATGAAGGATCTGTTCGAGGGGCAAATCACTTCATAAAAATCTCGGACACCTTTGGTGGAAATCCTATTGTTTTATGAGAAAATCCCTGGAAATTCTTTTGTTTTTGTGGAAATCTCGTACACTATTTGCAAGAGAGAATTACCCCTCGGATCTGTTACTGTCCTGCTTACGGAACGTCCAGCAATACTTAAAGGCACTATGTTACGATGCATTTCGCTGGTCATTTAAATTTACCATTGGCTCGCTAATACAATTGACAATTGTTAAGTATCCAATCAGCAACGTAAGGCTAATTCTCGATCATAAATACGCTGTGAAGCCTGTTGTTAACCCTGAACGGTTGACTGGCGGGACTACTAACAATGTGCCTTTGCGCATGGCAAACTGGCCAGGCGATAGAATTTTTGAATTGATTTAAGATTGTCTGAAAATGCATTATGGGATGCTTGCCTAGCACAGTGGCTCATCGTTAGCAATGAGTCTTCAAGCATCATAGGCTGTGTTTACACAAAAGCGATTGCGGACCATATGGGAATGAATGGGAAGCGATCGGGGCTTCTTTTGAAAGGGGAGAATTCGCTCACAGAACCATTTCAAAAATTAAATGCTCGGGGTTTTTCTTTTCCATGGGAATGATTGCATATTGCTGTGTTTCAAAAAGTTAAACGCTCAGGGGTTCTGGTTACATGGGAATGATAGCATATCGCTCTCTCCCAAAATGTGAAACGCTCATGACTTGTGTTTTCACACAGGAGCGATTACATTTTGTTCTGTCCCAAAAAGTGAAACATTGGCTTTTGTTTTCACACGGGATCGATTGCATATTGCTCTGTTCGTATAAATGCTCAGGATTTTTGTTTACACAGGAACGAGGTTTTAATTGTCGTGTAGAGAGCTTTGAAAGTTATTCAGTCTGTTTAAAGTTATATTTTTTAGATTAACGATGGCTGCCAATGTTTCATAAAAGGGTGACGCCCCTTCATGTTGTGATTATCTGATAAACGAATGCGGACATCTTTCCGAGTTATAGTTTTTTTCTGACTTTTACTTTGATTTTTTCCGCTGATAATGCTTGAATAGTTAAGATTTCGTTGCTCCCCAACACTTCCTTCCTATGCAAATCCTCTAAAACCCCACAATTTCAATTTTGCGATAAGATGTTATCTTTTATCTCTCTTTCTACTAATGCTTAGGGGCCGAATGATTAAGATAGCAGCTATCATTCTAAACGTTCTACGGTAAAATTGATTGAGAGAATTTTTTCTGAAGCGATTTAAAGAAACCGTTGTTTGTAGGTTTAGGGGAATAGTTGTTCGTCCAACGCATTGTCAATGTAACTTATGATGTCCCACGAGAATAATTTGAAATACCTATTTCCAAATTGTGACTTGATATCAAGTATTTGTAATACTAATAGCATGAAAAAGGGTGAAAATTCGCCAGAATTCCTGTATCCTCAATGCAACCGTACGTAAAGAATATCGAGTTGACATTATCAACTTCAGTTGTATTTGAAGTTGCTCAAGCAGATTCCAGTTTGAGTGAAATTGGCCATGAAGCTTCAAGGAAGATTTTCAGGAGTGCAATTATGTGATTAATGATTTTCTTGAAAATAGCCAATATGGTGGAAGTCTAAATTCAGGTTCTTCATTGTTCCCTTTAAATGAAAAATAGGGGGTTATTAGGAGATTTGAATATTGCTTCCCTTACATGTATTACTCCCAAAAAAGCCTGGCAGTGGAGATAGCCATTGTAACTTGAAAAGGCATAAAAACTTATTGTATATTCAAGATTGTTGCCATGTTAAGTTATTTTGACATAAGCTTGTTAAAGGCCATATCAGCCGGATAATAATCAACCAGGGTAAGCCCCACGTCCCCACCCTGCTCAAACCACCGATTTTGGCTTTTCCTTCATTTCTGGAGCCTTCGCTACGTCACATTTGGTCCCGCTCATTTAATCAACGCACCATGTAACAATTGTCAGAAATATCTCTACCAAATCAGGTCAGAAATCTTTCTGCTACCAAGGAGCCACCCTTTAGGCCGTCATGGAGCAAAGAGTAACTACAGATAAAGGTTATCTACGAGTAGTGCCAAACGAGGCCCAAAAAAGGACAAACGCCAGCATTAACATCATCTGGTACCAATAAAAGCGCAAGGAAATGTTGGTCTGGTTGGACCGCGAGTATAGAAAAGCGAAACAGTGACATCGAAAGAAAACGAATGATTGCATTCACACTTGCAAGGAGCTTGGAGGTGACTCAAAGAAACCATATATTTTGCTTCGAAAATATATTCTTTAGACAGACAAAGGGAGGAGCAATAGGCGTTAGAGTAGCAGATGATGTTGCCAGTATATTCATGGTATGGATCGACGGTTCAAGAAACTTCAAGATGAAAGACTTAAATTCAGGATGTACTCTAGGTATGTTGATAACATAAACATCGTATACGAGATAATAGATAAAAAGGTAGAAGCAGAAAAAGCGGATGAAACAACACTAAAATCAACCCATAAAATTGCCAATTCAATCCACAAAAGAATCCAAGTAACAATCGACTAACCATCAAGCCATGAGAACAAAAGGTTGCCAGTTTGGACCTCGAGCTATGGATAAAACAGATAAACCTTGAAGGTGACAAAAAGTACCAAATCATTAACTCCAACTTTATGAAACAGTTTGCAAGTCAAAAAGTCATCAACAGCGAATCGGTACTCTTCATACAAACAAAAATATGTATTTTAGTCTCGGATCTTGTATGAGTAATGAGAAATGTCTCGAAACAATGCAAGGTAAAGAAAGATCAGC